GTATGCATTGACTCAACCTTGATACACAACAGAATTTAAGGTGGTAAAAATGCTTGAAAATATTCACACTTTCCGTTCTAACAATGGTACCTCAAGGAATATATCCTGAGTATATAATCAGTTATGGTTACAGAAATCGATGTGAAAAATCTTCGTGTAGTCCTATCTACAGCATAATATCTGTGTCTACAGACCAAAGAAGACTGCTCATTGGAAACATCTATATAATTGGTTTTTAAAAATCAGTTATCGGCATGAATATGTTGGTTCATTGAAAATGTTATTATATTTATTATCTACAGAGAGACAGAGACAGACAGAGATAGAGTGCTAACACATGTGCACACAGGAGTCCTACAGAATTTGTGTGAAGGGCAGTAGGTGATTAACGGCAATTTAGTTTTTTTCTTCCACCATGTGTGTCCTAGAAATTGAATTTGGATTTTCAGGTTTGGCAACAAATCTCTGTACCTGATGAGATGTCTCAGCATCTTTATTTGCTCTTCCCTTTGGGGATGTGACAATTACAGGTCTGACAAACCTCTCTTAAATTTTCATTGAATTTATATAATGAGGGAAGCCAGATGTGGTGGTATACACCTTTAATTCCAGCACTCAGGGAGGCAGAAACAGGTGGGTCCACTGTGATTTCAAGGCAAGACTCTTCTACAACGTGGGCCCAAGATAGCCAAGGCTACACAGAGAAACCCTGTCCTGAAAAATCAAACAAAAAAGAAACCTACTTCTACCTATTACTGAAGAGTATAGACATGTACACACACACACACACACACACACACACACACACACATTTAAACTTTAGCGACATTTTAATAGGGCAATGATGAACCTATTAAACACTATAAGCATATAGGTAAAAAGCCCAATTCCAAAAGTTTTTTTTTTTTTCCCCTTTTGGAGTTGTTGGCTAGGAAGGTTCAATAGACACACATATGTTATAGGCCATTGCCAATCTTATTGGTTATCCTACAAAAACTTAAGGTAAGACCCTATTGGAGAAGAGCAGTATCATCAGTGTTACATCTGTTAACCCTTCAAGATAACAGTTGATCTGGCAAGACAGGCCCACAGATGCAGTGTCAAGAACATTGTGCAAATAGTCAAGCACATTCTGAGAGATTTCAGTCTCTCTCTACAAGATCAAATTCATACTGTGGACCATTGTTTAGCCAAGAATCTATGGCTAGCCAGGTCATAGGTCTTAACAGAGAACCTACTACTATATTTATTCTACTAAATGGACATAGTATTAAACTACCTCTTAATGATTTATTGTTATGCCCATGAATTAATACTTCTCTCAAACCTCATCAGAAAAGTTTCTATTTTCAGTAGATGATGATTAACACAGAGATCCATTGACTAGGCAAGGTTCATAGAGTAAGGATGGGGGCAATACTCAGCCTTAAATGGGACATCTATTTTGCAGTCTTTCTTTCCAAGCCTCAGGAATTACTATTGTAGAAGAAGAGGTATAAAGACTGTAAGAGCCAGATATAGTAAGTGAATAAAAGGGAAGAGTGTCCTCTGGACACAACAAGGCAGCTTAAAATATGAACTCAGAGGGTCATCATAGCATGCACAAGACCTGTCTAAGCTCAATCCATATGAATTATCACCATGGAGAGTGTAGGTAGACATGAAGTTCCACTATTAGCTGAGGGGCTGTTGGCAACTGACAGATGCTAAAGAAAGTCAGATTTCCTAAAGGTTGTAGCCCCTGAAAGCCACCACATTCCAGTGGAAGGCTACATATATCTCTATGAATATATGGGCAGCACACATTGGAAAAAGAAAAAAAAAAGATATAGGTTGCATGGGTACTGGGCTGAACACCTGAGAAGAAAGAGTTGGGGAAGAGAGGATAGAGTGGAAAAATTCACTGTATGAATTTCTCAATTATAAGTAATAAATAATAAAAAGAAAATTCACTTTCAGCTTATTTTTCATGAAGTCATCAACTTTGTTCCTTATCTTCTGAGATGGAAGCTTTGAGCAGAGACACTGGTTACTGGATGCCTGAGATTATCCCAGGGACAGTCCAAAGATTGCAGACTTCATTTGTCTTTCTCATTTTTTTTTCTGAGCCTTATGAGTTTAATATCTTTTTTTAAATAAATTTAACATGTAAAGTAATTGAACCATAGAAAATGAGAAAGCTGGCAGAAGTGAGGGTAGGATGGGACAGAGGCCTCATGACCAATGTAAATCCCACAAACCTATGTTCTTCTTATGCAAACCTAAACTCAGAGAACACAGGACAATTGAGTCAGGAAGACAATGCATGCATACACACGAATGACAGGGACTCCCTGCCAGAGGCCCAGAGTGTTGCTCCCAGGCACCAGGTAGGGGGGCTCACCAACAGCCTAGGATTTCAGCAATGGAGAGAGTGGGCAATACATTTGACCTCCAAGGGCATTGTGGCTGTGGTGTGAGTACATGTGTGCATACACACACACACACACACACACACACACACACACACACATATAAATAAATGAAATGATATAACCTAAGTGACATGACAGTATAAATCCTTTAGGGAAGTCCCAAAGTCATAGTGGACATCTATTCTTTTTTTCATAGGAACTCAAACACTGGAAAATGACAAGGCAATGAGAAGAAAGGAGGGCAGTTCCTAGAGCAAAACATCCTAAGAAAGGCTTAGTGCAAATGTGTTTAGCTTACTCATCAGGGGACAGAGAAATATTCAAGAAAACACAGACATTGGGCCTTGTAGGGCAGTTTATGGAGATTGAGATGCAAGAAAAGGAACACGGAGAGGGAGCGTTGATTTCATCAGGCTGACAAGCATGGCTGAATCCAACAGGAGTTCCAGAATTGATTTCACAGTGATGATCCTGGGTCATAAAAAAAAAAAAGTTCCATTTTCTGTTCTGAATTATGTGTTTAAAAAAGGCAAGGAGGCATGTAATCCATTGGAGAAAGATTTCCATTTCAAATAGTTAAAATTTCTCTTAAAATATTTTCAGTGTTTAAAAAGATAAGTGGCAGTTATCTGGAAAATTCACTTAGGTGGAAAGATATCTTCCCCCTAAAGACTGTCGATTAGTTAAGCAGTGCAGTGTATTGAATCAGGCATCTCCCACTCATGCTTTACTGGCATTTCTCTCTCTTGTTCCACAGCCAGGCTAAATCAGCAAATGCTAAGCCCTGAGAGAGTAAACTTTGTGACAGACTTGGTTAATACTGTTTCTTAGAATTGATACCCTTCTGTATAAATTAATATTGGCAGAAATGAATGAGTCCATACGAACTTAGTGGCCCACACATTCAATCTCAGCCCTCAGGAAGAAGAGGTGTGTAGATCTCAGTGGGTACAAGCCTAGCCTATCCTATACATGGAGTTCCAGGCCAGCCAGAGTGACATAGACTCTAATGGGCCCAACCTGTCTTGGCATTTAATGAAATGAAAATGGAAAAATGTAGCAGAATGTTGCTACTCCCCTGTGTGCTTCCTTATCCTGGAGGACATGAGCAGGCAAATGTTTTACTCTCCTGTTGCCTCACCCCATCCTGCTTTTGCCACCAGGGTTCATGTCATGATAGACTTGAACCATGAGACAAAGCATAGGTGTTTTGTTAGGTGTACATTACAACCAGAAGGGTAACTAACACACACACAATAATCAGTCATTTAGTCAGTATAAAACACAGCATCAGGGGAAAATAAAAAGAGTTAGCCACATGGTTTTTATTTTTTTTTCCTGAAATGAAACTTTAGGGTTAGGTATTAGCTCCATTGTGTAGCGTGCTTTTCAAACCTGCACAAAAGTTCTGATTTTGATGGCCAGCACCATGGGGGTGGGGGAGATAGAAAACAAGCATGGTGGCATACACCTGTATTCCCTGTACTCCACAGGTGGAAGCAAGATAATTAGAAGTTCAAGGTCATTTCCAGCTACATAGTGAATTCAATGCAAATGTATGCTATATGAGAACCTCCATGTTAATAACTGATTAATTATGTAAAAGTGAAAATTTACTTTTAGAGTCATGTCCATTGAACTATCTTTTTTTCAGGCAATATAAATTCTGTGAACACTGAGTAGCCTCTGCTTATCTTGTTTAGCCTCTTTTCCTGGTGCTTTCTCCCTAGGTATCCTTTGCTCTAGACATAACTCATCACTCTTGAGTGTATATACTAGGATCCTTGATACACTGTGAATTCATATTCCATCTGCCATCTCTCAAAACCAGTTTCCAACTACCACACTTTCCATGTCTAGCGCTAATACTCTATCTTCAAATGTTATTTTCCTCACAAACCTCATAATTACCACAACTGCTGAGAATGAGTTTTGTCAGGATGTCTTTCTGAAGAGACAGAGAGAAATATATACTTAACACACAGTCCCTTAATATTAAAGCCAAGACTCATGGCCCTCTTTGGGTCATATCTCTCTTCAAAGCAGAGTGATCAAGTGCACTGCAGCCCACTTCCTGTCAAATACCCATTTCTTTGAGTATCTTAATTAGAGTTGTTACTACTTTGATAATGCATCTTGGCCAAAGGAAACTTGAGAAGGAAAGCTTACAATTCCTAAGTGACACTCCATTATTGAGAGAAGTCAGGGCAGGAACCTGGAATCAGGATCTGAAGCAGAGGCCATGAAGGAGCACTGATTGTTGCTTGCTCCTCCAGGCTTTCTCAGATTTATTTTTATGTTTTTGTTTTTTTTTTCTCTTATACACCTCAGGACTACCTACCCCGAGGTAGTACCACCCCTGATTGTTTGGGTCTCCCACATTAGCCATTAAGAAAATTATCCTTTGAAGATTACTTTCTTTTTAAATTGAGGTTCTCTCTTCTCTAATGACTCTAGCTTGTGTCAATATATACATATATATATATATATATATATATATATATATATATATATATATATATATATATATCTCCAGGATATTGTCTCATGGGTTTCAAGGTACCAAGAAGATGGACAGGACCTTACCTGGTGTGTTAAGCAGGCGGGATCTCCTGCAGTGGTATGCCACCTCCTGTTCACAGTGCTCTGAGCCATCAATCAGAGCCTCCAGCTGCTCCATACTGACACCATAGTTTAAGGTCATGGCATAGGGCTTCTCAGGGTTGGAACCCTGTACCCGAGTCAGCTCTGTGTTGTTGTGCTGAACTGTCATCCAAATCTTGTCCTCTATACAGACAACAATGCAAAGTAGGAGAAGTTAAAAGTAATGCCCAAAGAGGAGTACATAAATAGTGGGTCACTCAAAGTACAACAAAGTCTCCACCTGACTGCTCTATACAGACAATGGGATCAAAGCATACTATTCCCTACACAAGGACAAGTGAATTTTGTTCAACTTTAAGTTGATATAGAGGCAAGTAATCTCAGGGGCTATGTTCTTTATTTCTTATTTCACACATTTTATACTATGAATGTAATGTCCAATATTAACTTAAAATTGACAAAAACCGTCTTCCTCTTTATCAGTAGGGACATTGTTCAAAGACTTTCTAAAACATGTCAATGTCTGCTGGTGCTCAATTTTCTTACATGAACTAGCTTAGCATTTGCATATTGTATACACTCACCTTATATTTTCACTACTCTCAGTATTGTTTTTGATATGTAATAAAAGATAATTGCTATATAAACATTGTTATACTGTATTGTGTAAAAAACTGAGGAAGACAATGCAGCCCATCCTGATGAGACCTGACAGGCCAGGGTCAGATAGAAGGAGAGGAGAACCTCCCCTATCAGTGGACTTGGGGAAGGATATGGGAGGAGAAGAGAGAGGGAGATTGGGACCCACAGGAGATCAGGGAGGAGCTACAGCTAGGATACAAAGTAAATAAATTCTTATAAATAATAAATAAATTTTAAAAAATAAAAAAGAAATTTTGACAAGGACAAAATACCTCTGCAAGTTCAGAATAAACTTAGTACCAGAGGTATTTGTTGTTATTGTTGTTGGGTTTTTTTTGGGGGGGGGGTTAAAGACAGGGTTTCTCTGTGTAGCCATGGCTGTCCTGTACTTGCTTTTGTAGACCAGGCTGGCCTCAAACTACAGCAATACCCTTGCCTCTGCTTTCTCGAGTGCTGGGATTAAAGCTGTGTACCACCATGCCTGATAATTTCTTTCTTTTTTTTAATTGAATTTTTATTTTTTATATTAATTACAGTTTATTTACTTTGTATCCCAGCTATAGCCCCCTCTCTCATTCCCTCTCAATCCTACCTTCCCTCCCTTATCTCCTTTCTGCCCCTCTCTAAATCCACTGATAGGAGTGGTCCTCCTCCCCTTCCATCTGACCCTAGCTTATCAGGTCTCATCAGGACTGGCTGCAATGTCTTCCTCTGTGGCCTACTTTTAAGTATTAGAATGAAAACAGCATCTAAAGATAATAAGAATCTGTGAAACAAAACATCATTTTCAAGGATGAAACTCTACAATGTAAACATAATGATCTGAGTATTGAATCTGAAGTGACAATACAAAAATGCTGGGCATGCTGGCACACACTTGTAATTCCAGTACTTGTGAGGCAGAGAGAGATGAACTCCTGGATTTTGCTGACCAGCCTAGCCTACTGAGAGTGCCAGGCCAATGAGAGATTTGAGATTTTTCAAAGGATCAAAAAGGGGGTTGAAAAGATGGCTCAGAGAGTGTACTGCTCTTACAGAGGACCCACGTTCAGTACATATAATCCATATTAGGTGTAACCACATATAATTCTATCTTTGGGTGTTCTAGTACTCTCTTCTTGCTCTCTTAGACATTTGCACTCACATGGACAGATACCCCCAATACAAATACACTTTTTTTTTTAATTTCCAAAGGAAAAAGAGGATGAATAACATATGTGGAATGACTTCTGAGGTTTTCCTTGGCCTTTACATACATGCAAACACACATACACAAACATTGTGAAAACTTTTTGTGGTGAATTAACTAATAGCCAACATTTAATCCAGATTTTTGAGGTGGTATAATGCATCTTTAATCTGGGTCACATCCTCTGGTGGCAGCCTATATAAGGGACAGAGGGAAGATTTTGCTCTTTACCTGTCTGTCTTTACTCTGGCTGGCATTAGGGCCTATTTCTTCAGGATTCTGGCATTTACGGAAAAACAGCCAAGACATCCAGATTCAAAGACTACTGTATTTTTGGACTGTCTGTTGGTAGACAGTCTATTAGCTGGACCACAGCCTATAGGCCACTCTAATAAATCCTATATTCATGCATTATGTCAGTTATATTCGTCTAGAGAATCCTGATTAATACAAAATCATATATAGATACATACAAAAAATATCTGGAATTTTTTATACTGAATGAATGCATGGACTTTTTAAATAAGGCTCTTTCAATAAGAACAAAAGGACAAGACAAGGAAGAATGTAAGATATAGATAAAACAAAGAAATTTTGTTTTAAAGGTAAAGACATGTGCAATTGAAGTCCAGCATGAAAATTAGACCGTTCACTTTAATGTTGTAGTCAATTAAAACACATAACAGCAAAACCAGGACATCAGTGTCCACTACACAAGCAGACAGCAGGGCTTCTAAAGTAGAACAGAAACAAAGATCATTAAGTTGCAAAGCATACTGGAGAGGTGGCTCAGTAGTTAAAATAGTCTACCTCTTTTCCAGGGGGTTAATATTTAGTTTCCAGCATCTAAGTCACATGGTGCACAAACACCTATAGTTCCAATTCTAGGGATCCAATGCCCTCTCTGGCCTCTGAGGGAACTGCATGCCCCCACACAGGAATATATATTGAAATAAGCAAATTTTAAGTTGCAAGGCTCTGTGTGGTGTATTTTAGACACTGTTGTGATTACTTGGGGCAAAACATTACTGCAAATTAAAATTCAGTTTAATTTTGAACATCCTCACAAATAAAAAAGGGGAGGAAACAGGAAGAATTGAAAAGCATTTGCCATCAGAGAGTCCTGCCCACATAATTACAACATTATTTTTCATAGATTCAAATAGCAGAAAATGAACTGAGGAAAGGAATCATGTGGTTTCCTCCCTCTTCCACCCTCTTAGTTTTACAAACGGAAAAACAAAGGCCCATGAATAAAACCAATAACCCACAGCATTTCTATTACTGAGCACTGACAGGAAAACATGCTAACGTGCTGAAGGCAACTGTTATTATTAACTATAAATAGTAAGATTATTGCCATTGGTGTGATTTAGCTTTAAAAAAAAAAGGAAAGAACTGAATGCTTAGATGTTTTGTATTAATACTTCCCACCAATTTTTCAATGGCCTGGGAAGAGATATTTTATCACCCGTTTCAGTTTCAGTATATTAGTAGAAAATAGAAATGGTTTGGTTTGGTTTTAAATTTCCTAATGATTTTAAACTTGGGAACAGTCCCCATACACTTAACTTTTTTTTTTTTTTTTTTTTTTTTTTTTTGGCCGTGACTTCAATTTTATTAATAATATCTCTGTGGGGAATTATATTGAAAATCACCTCAATATGAATTATATATTTTGATATTCATTAACCATTTCTAATTTTAGAGCGTGGGCTGATATGTTTTCTTCCTGGCAACAGTGAGTCTTCCTCAGAATAGTTCCCCAAACCAAACAATTGACAACCATCATGTTGTCAGAGAAACATGTGCTTTACAATTTTGAAATAGGATGGCACTTCTCTAAAGTCTAGTGAAGAAACTAATTCCACTGAATTTTAACTCCTACAACAAAATGTTTTAAACTCATATTGTTAAAGTTGTCAAAAGAATATTCACTTGAGACTACAGAAATATTGTTAATATCTGTCTTAGTTATTGTTCCTATTGCTTTGATGAAATACCATGACTAAAAAGCAAGTTAGGGTAAAAATTTTTTTCTTTTTTTTTTTTTCTGGCTTGTACTTCTCTATCACTGCTTATTATCAAAGGAAGACAGGACAGGAACTAAATCAGAGCAAGAACCTGAGAGCAGGATGTGATGAGGAGGCCACAGAGGCTTGCTACTTAGTCGCCTGCTCCCCATGACTTTCACAGCCTGCTTTCTTATAGAATCCAGGACCATCAGATCAGTAATGGCACCACCCACAATGGGCTTCGCCCTCCCCATCAATCTAATTAAGAAAATGCCTTACAGAGTTGTCTACAATTCAATTATATGGAGGCATTTTCTCAACTATTGAAGCTCCCTCCTCTTGATAACTCTAGCATGTGTAAAGTGAACATTAAACTATCCAGTACAATGTCAATATACACAAATGTGATAAAAATTAGCAAAAAGAGTTATTATTAAATACAGAGCTGCAAAAGAATGAGAAATAAAAATGGAAAGCTTTGAAACGGTCATGATGCTTATGTTTAACAAAGGTTTATGTTTATTACTAAGGTATATTGATGGAATCATGTTATGGCCCTCATGCTAGAATATCTTTCAGATATTATGCTTTAGTTTTACAGATATTACAGGCCCAATTACACACCGACAAATAAAGACTAAGGTAGAGGTGATTCTTTGAGAACTATAGCCCATTACCTAATCTACTTTCAAAGCTCTCCTAGCTTATTCTTTCTTTCTATCTCTCTATCTCTATCTATCTATTGACCAATTACCTAACTAAATAAATAACTACCTATCATCTATCAGAAGTTACATTGTCTCCATTCTCCATGTATGTAACCTGTTCTAAACATAATCCATACATCATCACCCAATTATTGGTTCAATGTTTTTTCCTTTAGAAGTATAGATTTTCCAATATGTATATTTATTTATGTAACTGTTCAGTCATTTAATCAATTCAGTGTAATCATATTCTGTCTTTGGGGAGACTGAAATGGAAGCTGTGCCAGCACGGTATGTGTCATTTTAAGTATGCCGATTCTGCCTTTGTACATTGAATGGGTGGTAGTAGTTAATAATTGGCAAATATGTTGCCACATGCACCAAATGTACAATGTGCAGAGGGTACAAAGGAACAATACAGTGCTCCAAAGCGCTCTTCACTACTCAGGCATCACAAGGCCAGCTATAAGCATAGTGTTAGGATGAGTGTTAGATAAGGACTTAAAGCGCATGCTCACATCTGGATTTCCTTGAAGGACACTCAAATAAATGGAATTCACTTTAAATAGTTCTGTACACTTAAAAACAAGATGGACTTGATACCTAGGTTGGCTCATCTGTGGGTTACCA